CTCACCGACCAATGCCAGGCCTCATCGAGATCGCGCTGCAGGATGTCGTGGAACTCCATTCCCTTGATTGCCCGCCAAACCTTAACATAGTCAGCGAAAGTAAACATTTTGAGGCGATAACTCTCGCGAGATCGTTGATGAAAAGCAAGAACAATCGAGGCCAAAGTACCAAACACTGCGGTACGCCACACTTTACTCGAATCGGGTATGACAGATGTTCGGACTCTAACCTCCGATTGACATTCGCGGAGAAAGTTACCAATCCATCCTAACAGTGAATCTCCGATGCCGTAGAGCTGCAGTTTGTGCAGTAGAATTCGGTGATCCAAACGACTGAAGGCTTTCGAAAAGACTGTAAACAACATCGGTTCCTGTCTTCTTGTCGACAGTTTCGGTCCAGCTGTCACGTGAAAGCAGCAGACTCGTAATAATTGATCGATGTTGTTGAAACTCGTGCTGCTCCTGCGCAATGATGCCGCAGCTTTCCAGGTAGCCCATCAGTACGTCTGCGATGATCGCTTCCATGACTTTGGCGAAAACAGAGAGAAGCATTACCGGACGGTAACTGGCAGGATCAGAACTTCTTCCCATGTGAACGGGGGTTATGATACTTCGTTTCCACGTTGAGGAACTAATGTTTTCGGCTAGACAGCGCTGGAAGAATCTGACAAGTGGTTGGGCTATGTGCATGGATGTTACCTGCTATGCTTTATAGAGTGAATGTTATCCACTTCAGGAGACCTATGTGTACGCAAGGACAGTAGCTTTTTCAGCACCGTTTCTGCTGTGAATATGATGCTGGCTCACATTGACGGTGTGGTGACATAAGCAAGTATAATGTTTGAGGCTCGTACCCCTTGGAAAGTAGGTAAGCACTGGGCCGTTAATTAGTTGGTCGCCTCTTTTACTGTGTGTGTGTGCATATCCACCAATCGTAGTGAGTGGCGGGACTCCGCGCTACACCTTTCGAAGTCCATTCATATGTCTGTAAAGAAGCTTGTGGTTCGAACAGAATGGTTTCGCTAGCTCATATTGGTGTGGTAATTTGTCTTCACGAACCAACTGCACAGAAAAAGTGCGCTGAGCTACGTACGCTGTCCAATTTTTGTGCTGGCATTATCTTTGTAAACACGCCATGTCCGACCTCTCAAGGCCATAAATTTTCGTGTGCGGCTTCTCAGGAAGGATTTTGATTTGATGGAACGGTAGAACGCTTTCGGCTCTGATGCTTTGGTGACTAGTGACGTGGAGTTTTACAAGAATTTTTCCCAGGCTATCTCTGGGGTGTACTCAGTCATGAATGTCCAACTAGCATTTGCAACGAATACAGACAAAACGTGATAATGCGTAATAGATTGCAACTTTTCGGGCTATGCATCGGGGCATTCGGCGCAGCAAATGTAATTGAACAGTAAAGTCACGTGATCATTTTGACCCAAAGGACTGCACACATTTAACTCATCATCCATGAGCTTCTTGCTGGTGGGTGATAGATCAAACATTGATGGCTTATTCGCTGTTCTGGGCCTGATGGAATCGGTGATGTTGCATAGGGGCTTGAACAGTTCAGCATCAGTTGCTGGAGTTTCCAAATCATGGATGTTGAAATCGCCTGTAATGAGGATATGGGTGTATTTCTTAAGTCTGCGATATCTACAAGCCACTTCTACATCACCATCGCCTTCTGGACCGAGTGCATTCAGCGTCTCGTTCAATTGGCACGTTTGGTTTTGGTACCTGTCCGATCGTCCAGCTGATGGCCTTGTGCTAATTTCGTACGACCGCTCTGCTCCTGAGGATTTAGACACTACCTTCATATTCAATGTCTAAAACTGGCGCGATTGCTTATGACCCAAATGAGACTCACGAAGACAAGGCATCTGAAGCAATACTGAGTTCAAACTCAGATGAATAAGTAATAAAGTAGATCGCCAGCTGTACGCCTCAATGGTGCTTCACTACAGCGTGACCAGCACCAGTCGCGCGCGGGCGGAGTATACCACGAGGACACCCGTCCCTACGCGGATTCGAATCGGTGACCCTATGGTCGCAAAACACTCGGCCAACGGCCATTGGGGGCACGCTACGCAAGAAATCGTGATACACTTGCCCATTCGAGTAGTGGGACGGATTCCTGGATGTCTGCGGTTGTAATCGTCTGTGGTTCACTCCAGCAAAGCGCTGAAGTTTCTCAGTATTCAGTATCCAGTGCTAAAGGAAGATAGGGGTCACGGTGATAAATGGAAAACTAGCGGTAGTCCGTGAGAAAACCACACCATCCGGGGCACATGGCAACGTGGTTGCTTCAAATCTATCGACGAATAACTGCTAGTGAACGGCACGCAGAAAACCAGTCCACTTTGTTCGAAAGCAGTGCGACGTTCCGTGCACAGCTACTATTAACATGGGTCATTTTGAGTGAGGTTTGAATTGAGCGCGAACATCCCACCGAACTGGGTTAGGTCTACCTACGCGTATACGTCCTCTACAATCATGGCTCTACTTAAGTCGGCAGCAACACAAAGTGGAATGCTTAGTTTGCAATAGAGAACATCCTTGTCAGCATTAGGACTACGAATGAATGGAGCGTACGCAGTAACCACGAATATATCGCGTATACCGCTGGTCCGTACGCTTGCCTGAGCTACGTTTTTCGGAAACCTCGTTGCAGCCAAACTCTGCCCGGAAAACACTGGATGGCCGCTTCGTTTCACTGGGACTCATCGGCACATTGCATCCATCGAATCCTGCTGGATTTGGACACATGACCCTAACCTTACGAAGCAGCGACATAAGTCAAGGGACAATGGGTGTGGGCGACGGACTCCCATCACTTCTAATAGTTGCGATATAACGTGGCTCATTCTCCAGTTATGAACGGGTAGTCAGTAATCACTCGAGTAGCTCATATGCTTAGATATTACACCTTCTTTGTGGTCCGTTAATGTGGTTTGTGCTACTCAGCTGCTGAAGCGCATGGCAGCCTCATCGGTTTGGTGAGTTGTGCATGGATTGTCCACTGCTCTTCTATATCTACTGCTTTATCGGAGGGTTAACGCGAACCCCTGTGTTAGGCAAGCATGAAGCCTGTGACAAATAGAGAGAAGTAGATGGTGTGATGCACGAGCAGATGGCCATGAACGGTAAGCAAGGAGACGGTGTGGTACCCTCATGTTGTTGGCCAACTTACGATTATCGTAGCCTGTCGAACGGTACGTATGGATTCTCGGTTTCCACATTCCAAACTTAAAAGTGCACCATATACAGTAGCGAAAAGTAAAGTATGGGTATAATAGCTCTCATCCAGACGTATAACGACCCATTTTGGGATGGGATACAGATGACGAGTTGTGCTGCAGCCAACGCAGAAAATGATGTGAGCTTTTCCCACTGCCTCGTAACCGATTCGCACTAGTCAAAGCAGGTCTGATGCCCAACATTGCGACTAACGGATTACGTTAGGTTCGTCGGCCACATACCTGATGTTGTGAGTGAAAGATTAGGCGTTATAGCAGGAAGAAGAGACCTAGTTAGAATTCCAAGACCCTCAAAACCCAAATTCTGACATTAACCTACATCCACCGCTTTTAATCAATAATATGGTTAACAAAACCTCGGTGGATATTTCTGACGGCAGAGTAGCACGTCCTCGATGTTTCTGGACTCCCTGTACCAACGCAAATTCAGCTCGAGAGGAAAGGTTCCAGATGTGGCTAGTGCCCTGGTTGTGAATTACAATGAAAAGTCACCTACCCCGCTTAGGTGTGGACAACGACTGGTTGACCTACAAGGTTAATGACTAGAAGAGCCCAGTTCGTTTTGGTCAGTGCGTCGGCTTCTCGCGCCAATGTTCACATGTTTATCGCCCAAGCCATATGATCAAGAGCACCAACCTAATCTAGTAAATCCCTTTCCTACTATAGTGCATTTGTCGATGCGAAAAAGGAAATTGATAACGATACCAATTTCTGGACAGTCGACGAGGAGTTTCAGCCACGAGTCCAACGTTGGCGTAGTGCCAAATTCGGGTATCCATTACGACACATGTCGTTTGAAATTTGAAGTCTTAGGTTGTAAGTAAATGCGAGTAGAACATGTGCGATTCTTCCAGTGATGCTGTGGAATTTCCTTCGCAGCAATGATTTCAGTTCGAAGTCCCCCTCAGCGAATCCCTGAAAACAGTTCTGGTTCGTTCAGCTAAACAACCACGAGCTTGTCAACGAGATACGGTAGATCCGGTTGCCATAACGGGTGTTCCCATGACAACAACAATAAACAATGACGATGCGAATAAGACGAACGCCAACAGGACGGAAAGAAAGGGGTTGTGAAAGAAAAATGCATAAAAATAAACCGATTGGAAGGTTAGAGGCTACGTGCAATAGACAGAATACCGTAGTACCGATGAGAACCTTAAATTGTTCCACAAACTGCATTATTTCAATTGGAAAACTTGGAACCTTTAGTCTAGGCCACTTCCGCCACTCCTAACATCTAATGTATTCGTGTGCTTTAAACATCGACATCCTCAAATGAAAAGGGATGTGAAGTTGGCTCAACAGTGTGCACTTTACTTCAAGATGGAGCCACCTAACCGCAAGCAACATGCTAACCATCATTCTTCGCTAATGTGGTATTGTCTCTGCCCGTTGCTCGTATGCTGCAAACGAAATCACCAATTCTGCCTTGTGTCGTGCTCTGCTTCGTTGGACGAAGATTGGAAGAATAAACTGTTTCTCGCCATTTCGTGTGCGTGTCCTGATTTTGTAGTACAGAAATACGACGAACCCTTATATGGCCCCCACATCGGGCCTCACAATACGGCAAGTACATACCTTCCCAAACCTCTGAATTAATTGCCGCATCCCATTTGGCCGTAAACGTTAGCGAATGTTACAACATGGTAAACATAAACGAAGAGAGTACCAAGATCCAAGTTAGAAGTCTTAGTGTTGCGATTGAACGTAAGCTACGTGGGTGTGTTTGTGCAGAAAACTCACCAGACCATGGACGATCACAAACTCGACAACAAATGTATGCCGACGGTTTGGAAGTGTACGGGTCCTCTAAACAACCCATGCACAACGCATGCAGGTATCTCTCCTGACGAGACGAGTGTCCACAGTGCCTAGAGTGGGCGACGGAAGAGGAGGAGCCCTGCTCGGAAAGATGGCCCACATTCAATTGTTGCCGTGGTCCCAAACACCCAGGTGGAGGAACCAATGGTTTGTTGGAAGCAAGTAGCTTCCGGCCCCGTTCGTCTCCAGCCAATTGTTCCAGATTGGCATTGGCACAAGGTGACGAATCGATTGTGTGCATCGTCGGAGTGACTGAATTTGTGTGCCATGTGATGCGTAGACCCGTTGTCTTGTCCGAATCGTGACACACGGGGCTGATGAAGAAGATACCGTCCACTACAGGAAAGTGATCGTACACAGTTAGGGCCTTGTGACAAGCCAGGCAACGCACCTCCGACAAGCGGTGATTCGTCAACTGAGTGAGTAGAAATGCCCTTGTGTCTTCGTTGCCGGTACAGCTGTCATCGTCCATTTGAATGAAATATGCGTTTCGCTTGTGCGCTGGCAGATTCTGTGAAGAACAAGCAAGAGAGCGAATGAACGACCTATTGACGATCGACATTCAGTAAACTATGGTACATGACCTTTGATAGGTCAGTGGACCATAAAACAAAATGACATCTAACAGCGGATAACAACGGTTTCTAGTGAATCACACCTGTGACCTCCATAATGAACCTAAGCCATGTCAAGTTGTCCTGGTAATTGTAGGGTTCGCTTTTCGTGATACCGAATGTGCGACAGCGGATTGACAGGCATCCGCAAAGTCGGAAACGTGCCATTTGGAAGACAAAACTGTCAGTGACCAAGGTTGTCCTTTTCGAGGGTATCGTTACACTTTGTCTTCATTAAAGTACATCAGGTTTGGCAGCAGCATCGCAGATACCACGTGACCCATTCATCAGTAGTGCTTGCGAAAAGTACAATTGCGCTGAAATGGATTCTGATTAGCTCGCGAGAAGTAGGGCGGTATGAGTTTTACATAGGTTGCATAGAAAGCGCAGAAACCGGTTTTAAACTGCCTTATCCTCAAAGGAGCGGTATCTGGGTAAGTTAGCACAATGTGGCTACCATTGAAGAAAGTAGATACTACTTATTTTTATGAGCAGGTGGCCACAAATGAGGCAAACACTGATTTATGACATGTAGGCACGTGTCTTAATGAGTTCGAACTTAGTTGTACCTAGATGCAGGGGAAAAGCGATAAGGGTGTTCAGGAAGGCGATGACGTTTCGAAAAACATGGTAATGTACTCCAAAACACGAAAGCGGGAGACGTACGCTTCACCGAGATTAGAAATACGAATGTGCTGAGGAGTCGTCTGGTGCAGTGGTTCTCAACCTGATATTTGCCCCCAAAGGGGCAAAACGAATTTTACAGGGGTAAATATAAGTATGTGGATTGGGTCATAAATATGTGGCCAAACAAAATGAATACTAAAATCATCCATATCAAAATGTGTAATTAATCACCTAACTATTATTGAGTAGCCATTAGTGACTAATCATTAGTGAGTGGTCTGTGAATTAGAGGATTTCAGGTAACAAATTTCACAACCTTAAATACGAACACAAGCTTACAAAGTAGCACAGTTAGATAACGCCTCCATCGGTTCGCTCGTCGATCGTTGTTCCTTTGAGTTGAGTACTTGGTCACCGGGTCGAAGTACAGAGTAGTGAACACTAAGATGGGACATAAATCAGTCGACAAGACAATGGGGCGAGCGAATGTTTGCCAGGTGGAAGAAACAATACTGGCGAGCATTAATCAGTACGTATCGATATGGAGTGGTCGTGGGACGACGCCATCCAGGAATGGCATGGAAGAGATGGTTGAAACAAATGAGAAGGCACTGACATCTGTCCTTGTTAGATTAGTGATGACATACCAAGACAAGGGACCGAATGAACGGAGAACTGAAGGTAATCCGCAAACTTTGATGTCGTAAAGTGCAGTTTGTGAAGGTGATGAAGTAGTTGAACATGAAGTAGAGCGGCGGTTCAGTACTTTCGGAGGCCAGTGTTGCTAACTGGCTTCAATGCTTGAGCCAGTTGCCATTACACAAACCACCGGAATTTCCCTATTCCAATCTCCACGATCTATGGTAAAAACCGATTTTCCTCTCACAGTAATACCTTCAACCGGATAAAAATACAAATTCGCTTCAATGTTTTCAGAAACAGCCGGATGCAAGCAGTTACAGTAACGAATGCGAGGGAGACTCGAAGCGGAATGTTCCGCGTCGTTGCATTTTGTCCAAAGCCAAACGCTGTTGACTATGCCAAAAAACACTCATGGTTGTTTTTTGCCAGCTGTCGCAAAAACAATCCCACCATCTGTCGCTCCTCAATCACGTGAGGTTACATTTTTATCAAGTTTAGGCTATCGTTGTTGGAACACGCATAGAATTAGCTCTGGACTATGGACGAAAATTCGTGAGATCGACATAACCACGATACGACCTTCGACATATTCGAAGTGAATACTCCATCCTATTCGGTTCTGATAGGGTGCACAGATTCACCGCCATCAAAGTGACAACTAGACATTATAACCAGTCATGTGAAGCACCATTCGTTTCGCTTTGACAGGAGTGCAGACTCCGATAAGTCAAGGTTTTCCATCGTTAAACACTATCACTTCGATGTAGAATCACATCGTGGCTCAGCGAATTGCATACAGTTTTCACTTAATTTCCCACACTCGCTTCTGTTTTAATTCAGAGACTCAGGTAAGAGAACGTCCTAACTGACTGAAAAAAACGAATTTAAAGGATGATCTCGCCACTATAAATATAGAGATTAGAACGATACCAGTGTGGGCTGCACTAGTAGAATCTACACGATATACCACCGGGTGACTGCCGGTGTGTTGTGGTCACCCTACTACCTGCTGTGTTGCATGAATGAGATTCACCCCTGTCCTTCAGTGCAACTAAACGACGAGTTTCCCCGGGAATGCCATTTAGCGCAGGCTCCAGTGTAAGTTCATTTCCGGCCGTTCATCACGTGGCAGAACTTGAGTGTGCGTGTCACGTGATCAGCGGAATACAGATAAGCAGCTGTCGAGGCCTGTGTAGGGAAAGTGGTTCACAGATGGACGCAACCGACCTAACAAAACGCCACAGATCGCGTGATGAACTAAGCTGCACAAGGACGAACGCCTGGTATGTTGAGGCAAATTGCGCAGATGACTGTTACCCACCTGCTGGGTGGGTGCACGTAAACTGAAGAGGCAGGCGATGTTTCGGGTCACGGCGTCAGCAAGCAACTACTGTTCTTTGTTGTGAGTTGAGAGGCGAAAGCCACTTAGAAGAACAGCAATCCCTATCCCGGTCTCTACATCGGCGCGCAAGTGTGACCTTAAGGGCGGTTGACCTGGTGGCCAAATCATCGCCGTCTGTCAACCATATCGGCGCACTGGTGACTCACTCCCAGCTAGCGCTCCAACATTTCGTGTGTGCACTGTGGCGTACAGAGCCTTGGCCGCTAAGTCGGTTAACCTTTCGGCGGTGTGAGTGAATGACCTGTCGAACTTTCGCATGTACTTTTGCGGTTGAATGAAAGTTGGTTGCTCCTTGTGAATGCATTCAAGAAAAAGGGGTAAAAGACGGAGCAATGGTAGATGCGTCGCGCACCAGACGATACAGCGCAGCATCTGAGATGTAACTCAGGCCGATATGCGGGCTAAGCGCCACAGGCGAAGCGGGCACCGCAAAATTGTATGCTTCGTTGATTCCCCCTCGGACCCACATGATGCATTGGAGTGAGGATATGTGGGCAAGCCACAAATCTCCACCTGCAAGTGAAGGCTGAAAGGAAACCAACTGAGACAGTCTCACAACAACTGCGCAATACACAATACATCTTGTTTGATCAGGTCAATTCGATTTCCCAGTCTAGGAACGTCCAGGAACTGCACTCTGCTTTAGCAAGCCCCTATGTGCTTACTAGCTTACATTACTTGTCCAACAAAGCTGTGGCTGTGAAAATTCATAGGCAGTTAAATTGAGAAATCAATCCTAACTTTCTCTCTTCTTTCGCATATGAGCAAAACTTACCCTCTATTACTAAAATATTAGGCACGACGACGTGGAATATTATGTACGACCATGTGCTACTCGTCTGATTTTGGTTGATGGCTCCTATTGTTTTATCCCCTCTACACGTTCCTCCCCTTTCCATGACCCTGCCGCCTCCATGGTATCCTCCATCTGCACCGAAAAAACTGAGATTGGTCGTGTTCTGATAAGAAACGACAGTGAAAACCCCGAAAAATCTTCCCAAATGTTACTATTGCATCCCTGTATATCGACAACCCGCTTACGTGAGCATGTTACACATGTAAATATGATCCGTCCCTTTGCGGACACGGTTTCAAGGTAAAACGAAAAATTATTGAGAATACCTGTAGCTTGGGGTGTGGATGAGAAGGTTGTCCTATTCTCCGATCCGGGCATTTCTGTTGCAGACATTTCGTTACCAAGCTACGCAACATCCTCAGTGCGGCTATTAAGTCCTGATTCGTGGAGTCGCGCAAACCGCTGCCAGAAATAAACGTTATTATTATTAGTATTACTAATAAATAGCAGTTAACCTGTCTTTCGTGGTGTTTCATTCAGATTAACGGTTGCCATGACGGATGAAGTCTTACGACACGGGCTAATTTAGCTGAGCAGCAAGAATATTTGCTCTCACCAGTATGGGTTTACCAAGAGGAGGTGGCTGCGTTTCAGGTTCCCAATGAGGCAACTGTGGTGATGGTGAGACGGCTTTTGTGCAGAGGCTAGATTATCCGTTTTTATACCGCTAGTCCGAACTATGATGCGGTGGATGGAGAACTGTGGAATTCAGTTTCATCAAGGTGATCCAGCGCTAGCTTCAATAGCACGATAACAAATGGTTGTCACAGACGAAACACAGTATTGAAATCATCTTAGGGCCTACTATCCAGATGTCGAGTGCATGTGATGTAGTTAACCCACATATTGCTCGTGCCATACAAATCGGGACAGGCCGAATGGATCGATAAGCGAACGACCATGTGACCACTTGGCATGGCTTCCGGTTCCAACAGGGGGATTTCACTGGTAATCTGGTATAGCGACTGTTAAAGCAAAACGCAACGTCCGACATTATTACAGAGGAAGTACCTGATGTGATTGCACTGTTGAACTTGAAAATGATTTTTCGACAGCTTAGAATTTTAACCTTCATTTTCAACACGCGTACCAGAACCAGGGAGTCAAGCAGTTGGAACGGGCCCATACCAGCATGGGAGTCGAATAAATACACTATGCTTTTGTATCACTCTCAATCTAGTATTACGAGACCAAACTTACCAGTTTTTGTAATCCAACCAAATGGGACCCAAATCCCAGGAACCAGGAATTCTTGATCAGTTCCGATCGATTTGGAGGTGAACCTTAATTTGGAGGTGAATCACATTCGATTTTCTGATTTGGCTACTCGAATTAAAAGCGCATGTAACTAACCTCAACAACACCCCTGATGCTGATCTAGCATCTGAACCACACAACAGACGGCCAACCAAATTGAACCCCGGACTAAGGTTTGGATTTTATAACGAAATTAAGAGCAACATTCGTATTGAAATGAGTTAGGTTGTCTTTTCATCGAGGATGTGTCGCAGTGAGATGGACGTTGTTGTGATGTGCCACAACCAGACTGCTAAGTTCTCCTCAAGGAAGCATGTGGCTGTTTGTGAATAAGCGAAACTCAGTCCGAGGTGACAACTTTGCTAAGCATATGAAATTCAAGTTGGTAGCACAAAGTATTGTTGGCAAAAAGAATTAGTGTGGCGAACGGTGACAAAGATGCAGGCACACGCAAGGGGGTTAAACTGGAATCCAACTGAATTGGTCGGTAAACGGGAAAGACATGTGTTCAAACAACTCACTTCAAACACATTGAAATCCGGTCTTGGTTGAAAAATGTTCCCTTTTCGATTCACTGTTTTGCGTTTGTCGGACTCACTGGAATTGTTCGCCTTGGATTTTGCTGTCGAATCTGTGGGCCAAAATGAAGGACCTCGAGCGGCTGAGGTCGGATTGTGGTGCTTTCGGCTACCAGATCCACCTCCAATGATGACGCGGTGAGATGGCTCCAGCTCAGATGCGGTTGACGAGTTTTGAGATTGCCAGGACGATGACGCGTCATTGGACGCTGTGGCAGCTGTTTAAAAAGCGGTCACGCATCAGCATAAGACCAGAAAAAGAATATTAACCGAGTGTAAAGATATGGGAGGAAACGCAGAAAGGAAGCTAACTAAACTGATGTAGCCCGATTCCAAGTGGTTTGAAAATGGTTTGAAATCAAATCACAACGTGGTGATTAAATATATTTGCATAAATAGAGATTGGAGCCTTCCGATTGGTAAACGACACCGAGTGATTGGCTCGGTTCAACAGAAATACGCGAATTAGTCAATGAAGCTATGTTCCCCAGTTAAACGTCAAGCGTTGTTCGTCCTCAGCAACACAAATCACTATTACTTTAGTCTTCATTTAGACCCTCCAGGTAGAGAAATCCGAACCGTGGTGTAGAGATCATCGGCAAACGACCAGGTCTGACATCACAATTCTTCGTATAACGGTTACCTCAAACAAATAAATAGTGACCCCTAACCGTTGTGCAGAACTCGATGGTCTGGCCGTAGACGCGTTCGCTTCCATTCTCTACATCCCGGGGTTCCAGTCGCAATGAAACCCATTTGTGAAAGAGAGCAAGACCGAAACCCTCCAATCCGCATGTACCCACTCGGATACATGAAGTTTATATTGACTTAACATAAAAAGGTGCTTCAGACGTAGTCCCTCCGTGAACGAAATTACTGATGTCCAAAGTTGAATTTGGAGAACTCACCGTGTCGTCGGATTGTGACACGCAATCTGTAGTGATATCTCAGTTCACCTTGAAGTAGACTTCGATCATCCAGATAGCTAGGACCGCAGCCTAAGTGGAGGGGTTTCGATGTTGTTCTCTCCCGACACAGACACCACCACCGCTGTTTCGTCCTCGCTTGGACTCGCTCAGGTAGAGATAGCCTGAGCTGGAACTCACAGATCTCTGTGGCTAGGGATCAGGGCATCAGGTATTAATCGAGTTCTACCCCAGCTTAGGATGTCTTCACGTGATGAGCCCAAACTAGAACGAAAACGGTCCTGGGGTGTCGGTGTTGGGAGAGAGAGAGAGAGGGAGAGAGCAATGCGGAAACCCCTAGACTGGCCGGTATCCACGGCAAAGCGAATCGGCAAAGCGATCCAGACTGAGATTGTGTGTTGTGGTTCCCATGATACAACGGATGCTCCAAATAACTAAATAGCTGCATTATGTAGAGAAAGATAATTAGAGCGAAATTGTGGCGATCGAGTTTGGATCTGGGCCCTCTGGTCGCAAATTTAAAGTGTGGTGGGAATTTAGGGAAAAATCATGCAGGGGGGATCGGGTATCCCGAATGCGATGGTGAAAAAAACCCAATGAATACTTAGTGCGAGAAAGATGTCCCAGTTAAAGACGCGTCCTATGGAGTTCACTAAGTTTACATCCAAAGCAACCGTAAGATTTTATTCAGAGGCTGATCATTGTGTGGCGCGCTAAGAATTAGTAGCATTGCACAAGCAGTATGCGGTGTGGTAGAAACGGGTAAATCGGATGGTACGGAACCAGTCATTGAGTATGCCAGCATAGGTCTATAAAGATGAGAGAACGCACTTATAGCACCGCAAGGGAAGAGATATTTGCCCTAATAGATTCATCAAGCATTTCGGTCACTACTTTCTTAGTTGCAGATTCAATGTGTGAACTGACCACAAAGCATAGATTTCGAGCCGAGGTCTCAATAGAGATTGCGTGTCGTAATTTAACCAAACGGCGGGTACCCCAAATACAGCGTTGAATTCCTAACCGTTGTATCAAACGTTGAGCACGGATTTTAGTGGCATAGTGATCAAGGTGTCAGCCGTGAACCACTAGGTCTTGAGTTCCAACCCATCTCAGGCTATCTCCATTTGATGAGTCTAAACGGGGACGAAACCGTCGGTCAGGGGATGCCAGCGTTGAGAGGAGCAACCCAGAAACACCTCCATAATGGATTTGTCTTCAACATTTCCAAGGAAGCAGAAGAATAAGCCGCACGATGACAAGAAAAGCTACAGGAATAGCATTTTCGATGTCAACCCTGCCCCGCCGACACAAGGCATGTCAGCACTGGCGTATTAGCACGGTGGTCTCTGAGGGACCACGGACCATGGCCGTCCTGCAAGAGTAGTGTATAATTATCCGCTATCATTCTTGGCCCCTCACAGAATGAGGAGTAAATCCTGTTGCAATCAATCGGCGCGGAGTCGCACCTGCTAGTTGACCCCATCGTACAAGCTGAGGAGTTGTGGGAAGAAGCAGGGAAACAAAGCACCTCAGATCATGGCATCATACTTTCTCAGGACGACCAGATATTCTACGGTGAATAAGCAACATCTACAGTTGCAACTAAGGAAGAAATACGAAGGATATACGGCGAGTTGGGGCACACCGGACAGCATAAGCTGGAAAGTGCCATCCGATGTCGGTTTTGAGAACCACATTTGCGGTACGATATCACAACATATATACTGCTAGTTTTGCACCCAATGCGTGCGAATCACGAATCCCACAGTCGATGATAGCGGAGTTCCCGAACGAGATAGTGGGTATTGGCATCGTCAGCCTCCTGTCAAGGATTGTCAGAGGACACTGCTACGTTCCGATAATGGCAGATTACTCCATGAAGTGGTGCGGAATCATTCTCCTGAGTAACGTGGACGCATAGAGCATTGCACAAGCCTTCTTCGATAAGCGACTGGCTAAGTGGGAATCACCCTGCTAATTACATTCCGATCGGGGGCGTGCCAATTTCGAAAGTATGCTTATGAGCAAAACGCGCCACATTTTCGGCATACGTAAAGGTCGAACGACAGCGTATCGCTCATAAGAAAACCGATTAGCTGAACGCACCAGACACAATGAAAGCACTATTGAAATCATTACTAGACAAAGATACACATCTAGAATGGAATACTAATTTGTCAAAATATCTGCTGGCCTATCGATCTTGCGTTCACTCTTCCACAGAACAAACATCGTACCTTATGATGAGTGGACGTGAACTGCCGCTGTTCTCCGACACGCTATCGGCAACACCACATGAGTTCAGTTCAGTTCAGTTGACCAACTATGATCCGAGCGCCTAAGCGGTGGATCCACTTGACACGACCACATCGCAAGAATAACAATAAATACCACTGGCAAGAGAGTGGGGTTAAAGGCAGACAGAATGTGAAGAAAGTGGAGGCAAGATGAAAGTGCGTTAAACTAATCAGAATGGAACGAAAATTAACAATCAGCTGCAAAAAAACCGAATGCAGGAATGCCACTGACTGTGTGACTGCGCCATGTCTGACGCGGTCTCAAACCATTAGTGTCAAACATCACGAGGCCCCCATCCAAGAAGAGGACACTCACCAGCCTGACCAAGTCTCTCAGTAAATTTCTTCATGCCTCTATGCCACTTTATAGACTAGCCACCTCGTGATTTCCCGTAGCTTGGTTCAAGCAAGGCATATGATGTATACCGAGGAAGCCGGTCAACGGGCCTACGGAGAACATGGCCTAGCCAAGGTAAGCGATTAAGATTCAATGAACACAAGTGAGGCACCAGAAGGTTTCCTAGAAAAAGCGGACCTCAGTATTGCCCGCCCGGTGTTCCCACAAGCTGTGAGTAATATTCCGCAGGCACCAGTAGTCAAACACGGTCAAGCAGGTCATAACTTCACCGCAAACTGGCCAGGTCTCTGAACCATAGAGCGACACCGGCCTTACCGGTCATATATACCCTACCTTTCACTGACAGACTGATATCCCGCCGTCTCCATAGATGGTTGAGTCGCTGGAAGCTACACGGGTCTTCCTGATACGTGAAGTAACTTATTCAGTAATGCGACCACACTTACAAAGGTAAATGAACCGATTCACTGATCGAGTGATCATTCCACAGAAGCGAACGTATCCCGCTCGTCGGGAAATGTACCCATTTATTTATTTATTTAGCACGAATCGCTGATCCCCTCCTACTCCGGATGGATTCCAGCCAGGTCCGTACGCATCGGTTGAGATAAGCGCACTTGCAAACCTCACAGCACAACCAAAACCGTATTTTGATCGCAAGATCACAGAGAGTCTGTTCAAACCGTCACACAATTTGGCCATCAACTTTTGGGCAAGTTCATTTTGCTCGAAAGTTTGCCGTGCGGTATTGGCAAACACTGCCGCACTGACATTCCCTAAAGCCCAACTCCTATCTCTACGTCCATTTCTTGCTTTCGTCGCAAATCCCTTCACTGATTCTCACCTAGGTTAATCTGGCACGCTGTGAATGGGACGACATTGACAACTGTAGATCCGACGACCAGATGCAATCTAGCAGCGTCAAATCTCCTCTAGATCATCATATATGCTTTGCTCTACACTAACAGATTTGCCCATCATCATTTTCATTTCTTCTTGCTGTTATGTAGTTTTTCCTAGGCAGCGAAAATTCAACTCAGTTCAAACGACCGAGATTATAATGGTCTTCTTTGCAGTTGTCTGAATAAAGGCTCTCGGCTGTGCTTTTAGCGTTCTTTTTAACCCAATACCTAATACAATGGATATTTTATTCCCTAAACAGCTAGTTCATTGCCTAATTGCTATAGTCACCTTATTGAGACACATGTGAGTATTCCATACTTTGTGATGTTTTTCATCCAAATTCAGCAGCGATAAATTTCGATGCACTTGCCTACTAAGACTTATTTACGCATCCGCACTTCACACTTATCTAACGCGTCGCGCATGGATTTCTTCTAATTTTAAGAAAAGTTTGTATCATTGACTAATTCTGTTTCCTGCTCGGAGATATCAGCACGCAAGCTAATGTGTAGTTCTCAACCCTTATGGATATCAATTTCCATATCCCTCGGATTCAGTCAATGGTTGAACCGCCGAAAAATCGCCCCAAGACTTCTACTTTTGTGAACAATTGGAATACAACTATCTTTTTGACAATCCATCTGTAAAATTTGATGGGACCAACCACCTGGACCGTGGCTGACTCTATCGAAAAATAAACTTGTTCGTGTCGAGTAAGTTATGTGGGAAGGACGACCAGGCGACTGTCTGAGAGAGTCCGAGAACATTGCCCGGCGTGGCTCTACACTGGTGTCAGAAAGACAGTAGTCAGCGCGGTGCTGTGGCATTTGATCGACTCAAATCACCAAGTGAATGTGCGAGAGGCCTTCCGGCCTATCTGCAAGATATCTGGACGCCACACGCGAGCCCTCCGATGTTGCTTATTGGCGACAGCGGAAGCAATCGCTATTCGGCTCCAAAACCCCGAATTATGTGCTCAAAAGAAGTTTGTACAGGCTTTACAGCTGCCATGGCCTCAAGCTTCCCCTTGTTATGACACTACGCTTGACCCTTCCACTAATGATGCCCAAGCCAGTGTCTTCACTTGATCACTTTGACCGGTCAATTTACTTCATTGATTCATCGTATTTAAATACACTGTGCTTGTTTTATTCCTATTATCTGTGGTGTATTGGCCTGATGCGAACCACCGAAAACAAGCTTGTTCGCCTAACTGTCTTTTGCTTCTGATCTACAGGAGTGCCGGTGAAATCCCACCGCAGTCGGGAAGAACCGTATGCAAATACAGAATGTGAAGTTAGACATCAACTACCGAATAAGGAAACTGGACCACCGGACTCATCGACAGTTGTGCACTTCAGTAAGTCGAAACCGCGCGGAGATTGTAGTAGCTTTGTAAGCTAGTATACTGGGCTCGGGACTAAGATGTAGTAGTGTACATTTCAGGACGCACTACCGGACCATTCGGTTGCGATCAGCTACCGTTGAACAGCGAAAAGCGCACAGACACTTAGCGTTGTCCTTATTCTCTCTCCGCTTTGAGGTTGACTGCGTATCCTCCCCGATCACGTTTCCCCGCATGTCCCCATGTGTTTTCGCCCAGTGTGAGTCTCGTCCATGTACTACCTTTTCTCTATCCTTGCTGTGTACTTTAAAACGGAGTTCCTCCCCTACTGCATTCGCTCACTGAATCCTTATAACTATAACCCCATCATCTGTAGTTTTCCCTACACTGAAGTACGGATGACATCGATGTCATGGCCTATCTTGAAAGCAAGACAACATGTTCCATGCAATAGCAATTCATTTGCAGATGTAAATTGGGTGTTGCCCACCCGAAAACACTGCACAACCACGATGCGTTTCTATGTAATTTCATCTCATCAGGTGGAGACAGCAGGCCTCGATCCCGCGACCATTGGAATAGTAGCCGAAACCTCTACCCCTTTGGCTACCGGGTCACGGTGGGCAACGCTTGGCACCAAGGTAATGACTAATTGGAGGGTCAAGTTTGGACTACACGTTGTGCGATTGGATTGCGACGCGCAATCTCAATGGAATGGACTGTGGTTCACATTGAAGTGAACCTTAGTCACGGCGATCACTGGGACCGTACTCAAAGCAGATGGAAATTGGGTTGTGCAGTGTTTTCGGGTGGGCAACACCCAATTTCCATCGTACTCAAGTACGGTCCCAGTGATCGCCGTGACTAAGGTTCACTTCAATGTGAACCACAGTCCATTCCATTGAGATTGCGCGTCGCAATCCAATCACACAACGTGTAGTCCAAACTTGACCCTCCAATTAAGCAATTCATTTGCTTCAAAACGACATGTTAGGGTGTTGTGGTTAAAATTTCGCATGTGACCAGAGAAACGTACCGTTGAGGAGGCGATAAAGAAATTGAAAAAGTGGATCGAACCATGAATCAAACCAGTCAGAGACGCTGGACTCTAGATTTACTCATGGAGTTGCAATATGGGTATGAAGCACCATAAAGCAAGTATGATCACAGCGACGATCCGACGTGCAACGGGGACAGCAAAGGCCTGAGTATCGCAAATAGCCTTATTATCGCCGGTAGTTTACCGTGAAACGTTCGCAAAACTCGTCCTGTCGAATGAAGGTATACTGACTCCTTTATAATCAGTTGAAAAGGAAAACAAGACTCTGACTTCAGTTGATCTAATAGGAGCACCTGGTTTTGGTACATCAAGTGTTGAAACGATAGATTACGTTAGAGATAACTAACTGCCGTAATAGTTTGTTCCATTAGTGACGCAAGCACCACCGCTAAAAGTACATAAGAAAGTGCAGCCAAGTTGTCCTTTTAAAAGATTATAATCATCGGATCACGAAAGTAAAAAGTATATCCGCAAGTGCACTTTTGTGGTTATAAACCAAATGAGATTATGCCGATGAGCTTCAAAAGGCCAAACCAACAAAGTAGATACCACTGTTTGAATAGCTAGAACCTCAGTCCATGATTATGAGACCGCCCTTCAAATGTGATGTCGTCACTGTCGGTAACAGCCCGCATGTTGGGCTCGCGACGGAAGGCGAAGATCATTGCAAGGAATAACCAGCAATACTCGAGAGATATTCGATTCAGTGCGGTGGGAACAACTGTGATAACTGTCGTTAATGGCAATGTGGACTTGCAGAACTAAAAGTCGTTGCATAGCTGACCCAAAGAAAAGTAAGAGGCACCACCAATGCGCCGGCACACCACACCGACGCTCCGTTGCCAAGTAAACTTCACTAGACGCGCGTGGACTGGGTATACCGCGAGGTAGCACGCTCCCACGAGGATAGGAACCGGTGACTTCTGGATTACAAGTCCGACGCCTTATCTTCTGAGCCATCGGCCGATCTAGGTAGGCTTTTCTAAATGTCGACCAAGATAATTGGAGCCAAAATCTTGTGTTTTTGGCTCGAGGCGGCAAAATCTACATCAAGTGAGAATGTGACACCAGGGAAATTGAGTAGGCGCAGTATCGCGTGACTGTCCTCTGCTGCCAGGGCAGATAAATCCAGATAGGGCTTTAACGACTGCTAAGATTCATACATGAAAATATAGTGCATTAACTCATACCGACACACATAGGTAACAATTGCCGCCGAAAAAAGCACAGTAACATTGCAGCCCAACCCAAAATACTCGTTAGGTTCCAAAACGGGATTTTTCACCCACGTCGTCGTTAGAGCGCTTTATCGAAATGTGATATTTACCAATCTTACTAAGTTCTAAAAAGTATGCTGGAATTGACTGGTAAAAGTCAAACAGAGAGGCTCCAGCACAAAGACAATAGACTTTAGTTAGATATTAGCAGTAAGATTTTAGTCTTTTGACTAAATTCATAGCATCCATCCCAGTTAGAAATAGATACCGTTTACCCAGAAAAACGCCGAGAGGTCCTTTTGTTCTATTGGGGCTTGTGAGCAAAGCGTATCCTCTGAATCCTACTGGATTCCAGTTAATGACATCCCTCTTTTGAAGCAGCTACTTAAGCCACCGAGCCACTGTGGATGGTGATGAGCATCATGACCGATTGCTATCTAATTGAGAGGCAAGTGCAACTGGTATGAGAGGGAGGGAACTGTGAGAAAATGTAGTTCGACAAAGTAAAGATTTGATTCCTACTCGTTTAACCCTGAAAAGTGAGTGCATAAATCAAAATGTCGACCAAAAGTAATGCGTTCCCCAAGTAGGGGTCATCAATAGGGCGAGAAATTTGTAACCTATATGAGGGATTCAAAAATAACAACAAAGATATAAACATACTGTTAGAAAGCTGGCAAGCAAACTACTAAGCCTGGATCATTGGATGTTGTTCGCGAAGTCTGCTTCATCAGAAGCATATCACCGGATTCCTTGGGGATCAGCTTAATGGGGAGGAATCGTAATACAGCTGAATTCATCCAGCATAAAGCTGTATGTATTAGCCACCGGCTTCGTACTCAATTAAAACACGAGTTTTCGATTAGGCATATCGTTTCAAGATTGACAGTAATATTCAGAAAGAAAAGAGGCAGAACACAAATACATACAAGCACCGACTACTTTCGCGCCGAAACCGAAGCTGGTGATGTTAGGGATAACTATGTGGTAGGAAGTAGAGAAATATGCTAGCCGAGACGCAAGCGATTTCAAGGTCATTTCAGAGTCATGGTAAAGTTGGCTGTCTCAAAACACGGAAAGTGTCTTCCGCATGGCGCACTAGTCGTCGGCAACACATAAATACCCAGGGAACGCTTACCGTTATTCTTCTTCTGTATAGGTATCGCTGGCGAAGAAGGATTGGAGTTCAAAGAATGCTGAGGATCGGGGTTGGATAATTTGTCTGTTTTGCTGTCGCTCATCGACGAATTTCTCGCTCTCCCACTGGGTGCAGCCCAAGTGGCCCGCGACTCCGTCGACCAATTTCCATTAACATTACCGTCGGAATTATAGGCATTTTGGCTACCTCGACGGCTACTGTCCACAGAACTGCCCCCATTGGTTCCACTTACAAAGCCGCTGGTGCCTCCGCTGGAGGCACTGCCAGTGCTCGTTCCTCGGTGGAGTGATAAGCGCCTGCAACGGAAGTGAAAATGCAGTGAAGAGAGACACATCTCGAAAGTGTGGTCGTGCCGAAACACACTTAATAAATAAATAAATAAATAATAGTTTGTTGTTGAACATAGTAATACAAACACGTAGGATCGGTAATTGCACAACAAGCTTACAAGTTACTCAGTAACATACTGGATTGATGTTGATGTTGCATGTATCATGCTTCTTCACCGCAGTTGTGCTACACTGGCTTACGCTTAAACTAGATCTTCTAAATCTGGATAAAGAGAATTCCACTTTGGTTGATTTGCTCAGTTCTGATGCATATTCTGTGTCAATTTTTCCCGTTTATGTTCCTTCCAATTCCATGTTGGCTGTTTGATATTCCCGATGTGGCTGCGCTTGATGTGAATGTTGACAACGTGCCTACCCGTCTAACACCCTCCACCACGCTTACTGGCTCCAGGAAACCGTGAATCGTTGCTGGGTGGGGGACGTGGTGCACGGTCTTTGTGGTCGTGTTAGGTACATAGAGTGGTTCTATTCAGTGTAGAGCGGAGTACAATCCATCCAACGCCTTGTGTACGTCTGGTATGCATGATTCCCAACATAGATAGACAGGAATGCTGTTGCTGTGTAGGTTGAAGGAGTGTGGACGGGCTCTGTGGATGCAACGTGGCTCCTATCTGCATGCATCCCGGTCTTATTCTTGCGGGTTTACACCGGATATGTGGTGTGCCGATGGAGCTGTGGGTTGTGCGGCGCAAGCCACCGATGGTCCCTCCGTACGCGCAAGCAACCTGCGAGTGTCCTAAGGAGGCCGCAATGAGAGGTAATCCGGAACCGGATGCCACTAACCATATGCATATGTAAGCAACCACGTTGAGTGGATTTGTTAATGCGACTCTGGAGTTCTGATTTGCTAGCTGAATTCACCAACATAGGAAGGGATCCAAGGAAGTTCAAATTGGACAACGTTTTTGTAGTGAGTAAGATCCCCCCGGAAAGGCAAAAGGAAGCGACTTTATTTGATGGTGAGTCACATACCCCACGCCTATTATAGGGAGAACACTTGCAAGGCGGAAACCCACGACGTCCTGGAACTCTGCCGCCGAACCATTGGTTGGAACAGGCTTAACCCGAACCACGGATTGTTCGACTAGCTGATATGTAAGCATGTCATCATTTTGCATCGCTTTCCAAGCAGCTTGTGGATATGTGCATATAGATTACTGGGTTGCCGCACCGGTGTTGAACATCTTTAGTCCATAGACTGAAATCGGCTTCATATACAACGGATCACCAAGCATAGGTTGCTCACCTGAACGCAACCGTCACTAATGTGGCGGTAAAAAAGGAATCAGCCCTGAGAACTTGTAACGCAGTCGGCTGCATGCCGTGAAATGACTGCATTTCCATATGCACTGCAAAAGCGGAATCAAATGAGAAGCCCATGCGAGGATTTTCTTACCTTTCCTTATGATGGAGACGACAACTGCGGCGTACACCGCCTAGTTTGAACCCCCCTCCCCCCGTGGACTTTTGTGAAGCGGCTAGCGCAGCTACGCTATAGTCGGTAGCATTGCAACCGCCTCTCATACGATGGTGGTGGGCCGATCGATCACATCCAGGGATGACAATAGCGATCAGACAGCGTCTGGACTTCGGCGGTGCGTGGGACGATCGAGGGGCCACAGCAAACTGAATGGACATCAAACGGCAAGTGGGATCAGAAGCAGTTCGACCGGTCAAGTTAAAAGTAAATCATGACGGTCCGAAGCTGTCCCCCGTGGCCCATAGGCGTAAGCTGCTGACTGGCAGTTCAAACCGCGGGTGGTCATGGGTTCGAATCCTGAGGGATCCGATGGATGCGCACTACGGATGATGTCCAACAGGCTGAAACTGCAGTCCAGTGCTTTTCCGGGCATGTGGACGACTATCTGATTTGGAAACTGGCTGCGATGAACCTCCCTTAATTTCAAATTAAAAGTATTTCTGGGTTTGGAAAGTCAATTTGAAGTACACGTTGTGTGGATGGATTGCGACGCGCAATCTCAAAGTGGACCGCGATTCCCATTGAGGTGAACCTTGGCCATTCGATCACTTCGCGGTATACTTAGCCCGCACGCGACTGGTGATGGTCGCGCGGCAGCGAAGTGCCGTTACGGCGTACAGCTGGCACAGGCATGTTCGCACAAGTGCTCCAGATGTGGACGTTGTGTGCACCACAAAGAATGAACATGGTCGAAATTTGGTATAGAACGCTCCGTAGTCTGTCAGAAACAAGAACGTGTCGTGACCAGAAAACACCAGTGAGAGCTACGAGCTCGTTGGTGCACACACAACCGAACACGATTGCCGACAATCAGCCCGGTTGGTTGTTCGATGTGGATACATTTTCGCATGTGGGCACAAGTAAACGCCGCGGAGAGGGAAGAATACTGGACTCAGATGAAGAGGAAGATGTTGCCAAGGCCCAACAGGAACTAATTAACGCCATAGCAACCCTTATGCAGTTGTCATGTTTTAGTTTATGAATGGCACTGACGAATAATGATGGTGGTCACAATTTACACCTTGGCGTGTCGGGCGCACGAAAAGGGTAGGTAGGTGCGAACGCACAGATACCGCAACCAAAAAGTTATAAAGATAAAACGATAAAATTGACCCCGAAGGCTTAATACTACGTCAGTGTCGCTCGGTCGGTAAAGTCTGGTACAGGGGGTGAGGGGGCATAAAAACACTAGCTTGAATTTCTAGCATTGTGTCTGCCGTCGACAAGGTCAACCAGACCCGGTGCTGACCTCCACCCGGCAAATGTGGTCGTGAGGCGCAGAAAGAACACAGGAACAAAGCGAGTTTGACCCCCGATTGCCGGCAATCGATCGTGAAAACAGGTTGTGGCTCCCCCAGATGTTGCTTTACCAGGCGGATGTAACACGCATGCGTCCCTTTCGTCAGTGACAGATTAGTCGAACTAATAAGAGCCGAGCACTGAAAGGAGATAACCATGGGTGTAGCGGGATGATCAAAGACTCATCGTGTGCCTATGTGGACCATGCACACAACGGGAAGGTGGACAGCCGAATCTAATCCTCCACCTTGTCTTTCATCAATACTCCACGTTCCGCTTCCGTTTCGCCTGGTTTACCGCTGAACTATGTATCCGCACAAAAACAAACGCTTCGATATGTCTCAGAGACATGACTTTATCTTCATTAAATGTTTTCCTTCTTTTCGATATTTGTTTCCATCCAGCATTTGCTTCCTTCATCTTCCGATCCTAATTCAGCTCTCATGTCTATCATGTTGAAAGGTGAGGTAATTTGATGCGAACTCTTTTCCTATTTTCATCCTGACGCTATTATCCCTACGTATTCATTCGCATAGAAAGCATCTTCTCATTAAAACGGTGGACCTGAGGCCAATGCATTCCTTCAATTCATTCGTTTCTCCCTCCTGAATAGCTTACACTTCCCATGCGTGGACACATTGGTGCTTACCCCCACTTAAAGGTATTAGTTAATATGCACAGTTCTCGTTACGTAACAAAGCGTCCGTTTATTTTCACCTTAGCAACACTCGTACATGCATCCACCGGAGCGTGCCGTGCAATCCCTTGGTGACAAAAGAAAATACCAGAAGGCGAACCAACTTGTTGCTGCCGAGTAGGAAGTTGATAGTGATTACAAAACCGTATGAACGGGAGTGGAAACCAAAAATCTCGTATCGTCGATATGTATAGAATTGCGACACATGAGCCTCTTGAATATGCACATTATTGACTATGGCGGTGCAAAATCCTGAATGTTCACATCTACTAGCAAGTACCTGTTGTATGTACTGACATGTATCCTTCGTGGACGCAGACGCTTGTTAAATCGTACTAATAAATAAATAGAGAAACTAGATAGCGGAAGGTTAAAGCGCCACGTATATGGAAAGGGCACGTGGAACGGCCAGTACACTAATTTTCACAACTTCGTGCCGCTGAGGTGAACGGAAGTTAATTCTTAACCTACTCAGTCGAGCCGAAAGAATCTGCTCGTATGATACACTTTCGGAGGGACTAAAGTGCATATATGCGCGATGTTGCGGGAAAATGGCTATCAAAATCGCTTCATAAAAGTCCACGTGGAGCAAAACATACGAATGGTTTTAACGGCTAGCAGAAAGGCAATTTTCCTGCAACTTCCGTAAAAATGGTGAAATCGTGGCGGAAAGTCTTAACCGTGGCCTATCGCAGCAGTTTAACGTACTTTCCCGGCAGCAAAGTTACAGGTATACTTCACCAGCACACCGATGGTGAAACTCAGTCTCAAGGATAGTATACCTGTCCATGACAACTCCATGTGTATCTATTCGTTCACCTGTTTCTGCGGAGCAGGATACATTGGTCGTACGAATAGATGTCTATTTCAGAGAGTGAATGAGCACCGTCCTGCATGGCTAACGGCTGGAATCAAAAGAGTATGAACCCCACCATGGCTGTCCACCCCGCCGACACAGGGCCCAACCCCAAACCAGCCGACGCCTATAAAATTATCTACAAGACCCTGGGAACCGATCGAGTTTAGTGAGTAAACGGACACTAGAAGCCGCTGAGGCCATCCCAATTCGGCTGCATGAACCGAATCTTGCTTTGCATTTAAGAAGCGATTCGCTCAGTCCTTACGTCAACCCTGTCCCGGTCAACTTGTGACCATTACTCAGTTGGATTGCGTCCAGGCCCAGATGTTGACCTGATCAATAGCGATGATTGACCTCTTCTATACATTGATTTTACCCCATTTTTCAGCGACCTCAAAAGTCGGTCTGATTGGGTTGATTGGTATATAATTGTACTAGGCTGAAGAATAATTATCGAAAACACCTGCTCACTAACACTGCATTTCGACTATCTAATGATCATCTTTAAACCTGTCTGTTTGCTTATTTAAGAGAAAGTGTCTAATCGAAAACGATAAAAAATTGGTAGAAGCACCGGATGGATGGATCAGTAGGGGAGACGTGGGACAGAATGACCATTAACATTCCGAAATGCTGGCATCTAGATAAACGTGAGAACTGCGAATGACACAACACAGTCTATGTTGGTGTCTCAATGAATCCCAAGAAAGACTGTCGACAAGTGTCCACGAGTCGATATCAGCATAAGTGACCAATGACACCACCGGATATGGGGAATGCTCCGTAGGCAATACCAACAGCAAGCATATTGAAATGCTGATGGCTATTGACGCATATTCAGACAATTGGTAAGAATCAACTAGTAAGATTGAGCTGGGAAAATCAAACATGGCTTCTCCAAATCGGAGGACATGCAGGTAACGGTTTGAATATGTTAAAGAACATGTCCAACCCAGCACAACTGTGGGGATGGCTCGAAGAAACATATTCAGAACTAGGGATTATTCTATTTTCCACCAGCAGACACCAGATACCCGCACAACCATACCTACACAAACGTGCATAAATCAATTTCTACATAACCATACCCTATTGGCATCGCCCATTTACTTGCTTATCATGCACATCATGGTCCGAAGAGATTGCCACTGGCATCTTCGTCTCAAACATACGATCAGTGCCAGGATACGGCGCACCCGCATACGGTCCTATCACCGGGGGAGAGGTAAAATGGGATGAGCGGATACACCATGTGGCCATCAGGCTCATGCCCACTTCACGAGGTGTGTCCTACCAAGGACGGTGCACGAGACTAGGGCTTTACACCGTCTTACCGTCGATTGCGGGTTGGCCACATCATGACTCACCGGACAGTACATCTTTCTGATTACCCCATGTTGAGATCGCTGCTCCATATACGCACACTAAACAGCACACGAATCCAGCGTTGCAAGGTTGTGGTACCATAGTTGAAGCGCGTCGCCCACCAACTCTGTTTCGAACGGAGAGTGGTGAATGTATGGAACAACCTGCCGATGCATGTAGTCAAAGCAAAGTCGGCTTCCGAAATCAAGAAATTCATTGACAAGCACTTTACCGACATAATATATCGCGAATTCTCTCCAACATAACAGGTCTTTGTACCTGAAGTATTCTAGACGTAGTGACACACAAACATCTCTCCTTGCTGCTTTCATCCAGTATACAATATTAATGCACGCAACCATGACTCCACTTGTTCTAGTTTGCTAAGGAACCATGCACCTCAACGTCAGACACGCGGCTTGCTCCGTGATGCCGTTTGAATACGCAGCCGCCTTTGGTTGCTCATGGTTACTGCTTGCTCACGTAAGCCCGGTCGTGGTTCATTATTTGTCTGGTACTAAGTCTGGAGAGCTCCGTTCAAAACACCACACCATAGTGGTAATATTTAGCGTTTTGTCTACTCCGGACTTTATGGTTTCTAACTATCCCCTGAGTTCATTTCTGTGCTGCGAATCGGCATTATTCAGCGAGTTGTCTTCATTCAGAACGTGTTTGTATCCTAAGCCATCCACAACAACAGGGGACAAATTTATAGCACTCAAACCAACACGGGTGACCGAACATTACGTGACTCAGTTAAAACTATGTCTTCCGCTCAGTTCGACAATCCCTGTGTAGGTAACATCAGTCATGGGTCGATGAGTGGATTACGCGCACCAAAACTTGGTAGAAGTGGCTGTATTATGAGCCCGTCATCAGATACCAAATAAACGTATGATTTCATCTTTTCGAGAAGCATCGGTAGTGCGCATTCCATCTGCCATGACCGTACAGAGCTACGGGGGACCGGAACGTCCGACAGAAACGTTTCGACTGATACAGCGCAGATTACTATCCACTGACTTGCAAGCTGTCACCGAACAGAGTAGTTCCTATGTGCGGAGTTCCACTCCCACTTCATGCTATCTCCACCTGATGAGTACGTAGGTGGAGGAAACGCGTCGGGGATTGGAGCGCCGGGAAAGAGCAACACAGAAACGCATCCACTTTGAATACGATCCCAGTGATAGGAATGGCAGAGGCGACTTCAAAGTCAACCGAGGCCGAAATTGTGATTGCGTGTCGCAATCCAAGACACAAGGTGGGTACTCTAAAACGCGACAATCAACAGAGTTCTCCTCTTAGAAACAACTGTTTTCTCCAATAAGGCGGTTTGATAAAGTATTGGCGACGTTTTTTCTTCAGAATCTAGATGGAGTTGAAGTGAATTTGTCCATTTCACAATTTTGACGAGCTAGCAAAATTCGCAAGACACCCTGTATGAAGAGGCGACAGGTAAGCTGCATGAGTAAGTGTCAACATAGCAAATGTAAGCTGTTTTCGGCTTCAGCTACTAATCCAAGCCGGTGAAGTGGAAGATGTGGAACGTGTGCCTCATCGTCGCTGTAGTCTGTTCATATACCTATTTTAGGTTGTTGCATATCTGACGACGTTTGCAGACTGATATTCCAAGTTCGACGTCGTTTGAAGCAAATGTTGACAAAGACCTCAATCACTTTTTCCATGAGACAATTAATTGCCCTGTGGGAAGACAGGGTGCGCAGTTTTCGTTGCGATGCCGGTGTCCAATAGTTTTTCTTCCCGTGTGAAATGGGTCACGCCCATCCAGTGACATGTGTACATCTGGTGTGCATATTTCCTTCAATTTCATGCGAATGACGTGAAGGTTGAAGGAGTGTGAGTGGACTTCGAAACAACCGTGGCTCCCGTTCAGATACCTACCGGTCTTACTCTTTCAGGTTTACACTGGATATGGAATGTGTGGAGACCGCTATGACTAGTGGGGCGCAACCTACTCATTGTCTCTCTGTAGGCGCAGGTGTCCTATGGCCGTTCACAGTCGTAGTGCCTACCAGACCTTGAGAAACAGTTGCCACCAACCAGGCAACACTGAGCCTCATTCAACAGAAGTAGCTGGTGAGAATCGGTGGGAAGGTTTTTGGACACACATACAGTCATCAGTTGGCCGAAATTGCCAGCCAAGATAAACGATGGCGGCGGGTTAAGAAGTTTTGGGGCAGTTAACGTGATAAAGTGCCAGGCTTCATTGGGGCGGACTTTAAGCTCGTTGAGTGTGAAGTGTGGAAAGCTTCGCGACAGCATAGACCAATGCCCTTGTCTTTTTCCAGTCTTCATCCACCGACATGTCACTGGACGATTTGAGTGAACTAGTGACCACTTGAGACGCATGCAGTTCATGTGACGTCGAACGAATTAGGGAGACAGCTCCGTATCAGTGGAAGTTGCATTCATTGGCGCTATCGAAGGAGCAGACACCTCAGAGTCAACTGTATGGAGTGTACCTAAGTCTGGGTAGTAATCTTTGCTAATGATGGCAGTGGCTGCGTTAGGGAGTCGCAGACGTCCCTCTCGCCCCTGGTTTCCTCACAAATGTCCCTAGATCCTCGTGAACTACGCTATGTTCGTGACAAACCATGGAATGCTGTTACGCAGATACAGCTTCCTATAAAGGATGCTTAAGTATGATGTGTGGGCGGACTCGGTAGTATCCCGCAGGCAGTTTACTGGGTAGGTGCGCGAGTGGGGTTGATATGAGGACGTGTAACAGGTGCCTAGCGGAGTTCAGATATCAAGGGACGATTTCGGCCGTTAGCCGAGAATCGGTAGACTGTTAAGCATTCTACTGGACCTACACACGTCCCTCGAGGGTATTTAGCTCAGCTTGAGCGCAGACACTTGTCACGGATCAAAGAAAAGCAACACAATTGGACTGTGGATCGTCCGACCCCAAGTCGGTGTCCTGTGTATCAGAATGTAAGCAAATGAATCCCAGAGG